TTAATTTTGAAGTTTTTGCCTTAGGGTGTTTGTGCTTACTAAAGAAAGAGACAGACACAATGAGAGAGAAAGTGAGAAGTCAGCCCCTAGGGAGATGGCCATGCTGCAATCCCTTCTCCTCTAGGGATCTTGGGCACACATGCACATGTGGCTGGCATGAGTTTGAAACCACCAGGTCTAGGATTCAAACCACAGTCAGCCATGTGGGAGTCCAGCAACATAACTGCTATGCCATCTGCTGGTCTTCCACATGAGTTTTAAATTCATCACATCAGAGGAGACCAAGTAGGAGGGAACACTGAGGGGTAGGGACACATTAATCTTGATTTGGAGGGTCCAGACCATCAGCTTAGGAAATGGAATTCAGATCTCTGTAAAACTTAAAACTACTTTCCCAGACCTAGACTCTTTGGAAACTTTTTGTCTTCTTTGTTTTGTAGATGACACCCTAGTGTTTTTAGGTGCTTTTAAGAAAAATTTCTTGTGGCATGTCCACTTAGTTCCTTGAAACTAAATTACAGTGAAGGAGGAGTTTTGATCCATTTGGGTTAGAAGTTTAAGACAGTGATGTCTACAGCCTTGTGCCAGCACTAGTGAGGGAGTCCAAAGCTCCTTGGGGTGAAGGTTGGGGTCATTTAAATCATGGAGATGGTCATTCCAGAGCTCTTTGTTTTTGTTCATACTTGAGAAGATCTTATCTCCTTTTCTCTTTACCAAAGGCCATTCCAGTCCATGGATCAGATTGACACCATCTGTTTCCAGTGCTCTATGTGTTGGCCTGAAAACTCATTCCAGCTTCTGGGCCTGAACATGGGGACTGCCATGTTCTCTTCTTTTCTTGGTCCCATGCCCTGAGAGAAAGCCAAATGCCCTCTTGGACTCAGAAGTAGAACATACCATAAGGGCAGAAGAAAGGCCTACATCTGCATTGTTCATTGTGGTAGCCTCTAGACCATGTGGCCATTTAAATGTAAAATAAAATTCATTAAAATGAAATAAAATTTAAAAATTAGTTCACATTTAAAAAAAAATTGCCACAAGGCACATGGGATCACCAGAGAAAACTAGAAAAAAAAAGAGAGAGGGACACACACACACACACACACAGCAAGAGAAAGTACCCTTTGGGGGGATGACCATGTTGGAATCCCTTTTCCTCTATTCTCTTCTGGGATTTTGGACACACACACACCCACACACTCACACCCCACATGTTTCTCAAGCTGCCAGATCTAGGACTTGATTCATGCAGTCAGCCATGTGGGATCTAGTGTCTTAACCATAACGTCCCAGGCTGGTCCAATGCTAGCCACATTTTAAGTGCTCAATAGCCAACATGACTATTGGTTACTATATCATAACCTTTCTATTATTGTAGAAAGTTCTACTGGTAAGACTTGCCTAGCTCCTTGTACATAGCTCTGGCTAGGCTAGGGGGCTGGCAGTAGAGTTCAAAAGCTGTCTTCACCCACAGAATCCTTTCCTTAAAAAGTGACTGTAGATGGACTTGTCCAGTTTTTCTACGCAGCTGGCAAAATAGTGGCCTACATTTATTTAGTACTTAACACTTGCCAAAGAGTGTGCTAAGGATTTTTAATATAGATGATATCAGTTAATTACCACCATAATCCTGAGGAAGACACTATTACCATCTCCATTTTAGTGATGTAGAAACAGAACTTTAGAGAAATGTAGTGATCACTCACCTGCTAAGTTATACCATACGAAATGGCCAATGTTCAGCCATTTTTTATGAAAATGGCAATTTTATATGGTTCAACCTCAGAGTGAATGGCAGAGCCAGGTTTCAAATCCAGATTTAAAGAGCATGTCAAGTTCAGTGTGGCTAAGCCTTTGTAAATGACCACCTTGAAACCTACTTCATAGGGCTGTTGAAGGATTCAGTGAAATGATGTTGGTTCTGTGCCTGGTGCACAGTGAAGCTCATGAACTGTTCTTTTTGTTTAACTCCCTCCATCTGTCAGTCTTACTCACTAGGGAGGCAATATGCAGCTGTCTGAGCAGATGTGGCCAGTGAGTTGAGAGGAAGGGGCCTGCTGTCATTTACCAGATCCCTTCCCAGGGACCTGGAAAAGTCCATAGTTGTCATTAAGACCTCTCCTGACCCTTTTCTCTACTGGTCCCCACTCCTTTCTCTCAGGGAGTCTCTTCTGCTGAGCAGGCCTGTTATTCTCTGTGGGCCTTGAGCAGAGGAAGAGGTGGTGGACATTGGCCCCTTCTATTCCCCATACCCCTCAACAGCCCCAGCAAATGCACTTCATTAATGAACCCCCTTCCTTGGAGACTACAGAAGGAGCAGGAAGGCTGGGGGTGGATGGAAAGGGGAGGCTGCTGTCTTGAGCATGTCAGGTGGCTATATAAGCTGTGCTCTGACCTCCTGCATGTTATAACTCTGTGATTGCATCTGGCAAGGAGAGTGATTCAGAATTCCTCCCTCTTTTATTTGGCAAGAAGGGAGAAATGTCTCCTTGGTTGAGGGCCCTGCTGTTTGGGAGAGATTTTAGATCTTGAGGGTAATTTCCATTCACTTGAGGAAATTCTGTCTTTCAAAAGCTATAGTTTAGGATTGCCAGACTTAGAAAATGGAAAAATAGGAAACCCATTAAATTTTGCTTTCCGATAAACAGCAATTTGTTATTAGAAGTATACACCACAAAATATTTGGAATATCCTTCTACTAAAAGTTATTTGTTGTTTATCTGAAATTCAAATTCACCTGGTACTATGGTTCTAAATTCAGGTGTTGCCAATGTGATAGTGTGAAAAGGTGGGGCTTTTTAGAGGTGAGTAGGCCATGAAGGATCCTCCCTCATAATAGGATTGAAGCTCTAGTAAAGGAGGCTTCACACACGGCGTTCAGTGGGCTTGTCCTTTTATGTTCTACCATGTGGGAACCGTGTTCATCCCTCCAGAGGATGCAGCGTCAAGGTACCACCTGGGAAGTAGAGAACAGTCATCACCAGACAACCAAACGTACAGTCACCATAATCCTGGACTTCCCAGACTCCAGAACTGTAAGAAATTTCTGTTTTGTTTTTATAAATTACTCGTTTTATAGTATTCAGTTATAGCAGCACAAAACTGACAACACCTCAGCATCCTGTATTTTATCTGCAAAACAGCACAGTCAGGCTTCTGTCCATCCTTAAGGTGCCAGGTCAATTACGGTGACTTTAAGGACATGTGGGAGTAATGGGGAGAGAGAGCTAAATCTTCTTGCAGCTGCCGCTTGGTTTCATAATTCTAATACCTCATGGGAAGGGCAGAACAAAGCGATGTAGACTGGGGCTCTCAGAATGTGTTCCCTTGGATAGCGACATCACCTGGAACTTGATAGAAATGCAAATTCTTGAGTTCTATCTTGGACCTACTGACTCAGATGCCAAGGAGGCAGGCCCTGCCCTTTGTGCTTTATCAAGCCCTCCAGGTGAGGCAGTTTGAGAACCACAAGCTTAACCTTGAAGCAGGCGCCTTGGGGATCAGATAGACCTGTGCTGAAAGTCCAGTCCCCCATTTATTGTCTGTGAACATAGCCAAATTACATAACCTTTCTAAGCTTGTGTTTCTTCCTAAATTAAGAAGGAATATGATACCTTATTTAGAGATGTATTAGGGATTAAATGAAGTTTTATACTGTTAGATAGATATAGACATATATCTCCCATCATAAGACAATTATTCTAATGACAGAAGTGCAGGTCCTGTCATGTTCTGAAACAAATCTGATGGTAGGCATGGCAAGCCCCAGGTATGAGAACAGTCTGTGTGCACTCAGTTTAAACAAGCTTTTATTTTCAAAACTTCAATTTGCAAGGAGAAAGAGACCAACTTCCAGGGAGCCCTGGTGTTCTAACCCACAGACAGCTTAGAGTGGAAGGCCACATCTACTCGATTACCTTTGTTCAGTGCTTGATCCAGAGCAGTTGTCCGGACGACAGGAATTGTCCTGTTTCGTTTTTCCCTTTCATGGAAAGGGGAGGAAAAGGAGGCCTGAGGTGGTGAAGACTAGTGGAAGCTCCTTTCAAAGTAAGGAGAATTAGCATACATAGGTATGATTTACAGGCCAAGTCTGGGGGATCCCATATCTAGTTGAAACCTGGATTTCTTACCTTCAGAATTACTGACATTTTGAGTTAGATAGCTCTTTGTGTTGTGTATTGTGGGATCTTTTAGAGCATCTAGGCTTCTATCTACTAAATTCCAGAAGGTCCCTTATCCTTTCTCACCACAGTGACAACTGAAAACAACCTGAGACATTGCCTAAGGCCCCACAGAGCAAAATTACCTTTGAGAACCACCATCCTAGAAAATCTCTTAGATAACAGCTACTCAAATAATTTTAACAACTATTATTAATTGAGAGTTTATAAATAATAGCTCCACTCCCCACATTCATATTACAAGGTAGGTGTTATTCCCTACATTTTACAGTGAAAGAAACTGAGGCTCAGTTTTTTCTTAAAGTAACCTGCCCCAAACCATACAACTTGTATACCTAGATTTAGAATGGGGTTGGTCTCACTCCAAAGTTTATACAGTTCCTGCTGCAACACTCCCTCTCTCTGGAAAAATTAAGACTTTTTTCTTTACAGGAATGAAATTCTTGAGTCACTGCAGGCCCCAGAATATTTATTGAGCTCAATGCCATGAAAAACTACAAGAGAAATCTAAGTTGTTAATCCTTTCAGGCAGTTTCCAATATCAGTGTCATCAGGAAGGTTGGACTCTCACATGCCACACTGTTAAGAGAGCAATATGAGGCATTCTGGGGGCCAAAAGCAGTACAGGAAGCATACAAAAACTGAGTTTGGGCCCAAACGAGCACACCTAGAGGTAGAACCTTGTGAACTGAAGCTCCGTGTATGTCTGCTTCACATGTGTTTTTGCATGCTAACAGAGGGAGCAATGAAGCCTTGAAATTTATGGGATCTACTAGCCACTTGTCTTGCACAATACTAATTCTCTTGTCTTAGAGCGGGCTATGGGTTGCTTCCAGACAAACATTCAGCCATCTTCTTTTTGGCTCTTTGTATAAAGTCCACATTTCCCCTCTCCCGACGGATGGCCGTATACTCATAAGCCTTGAGCTTGCTGTAGTAATCAGAGAACTTGTTGTAGAGGATGGAAATAGGCATCCCATTGAGAATGACCCCGAAAGCAATGCAGAGGAAGGCGAAAAGTCTTCCCAGGTGGGTCTCTGGGCACATGTCTCCATAGCCCACAGTGGAGATGCTCACCTGTAAGT